GCTGCTCAAAATAAGACTTGCAAAAACTTTTGTGACTAAACGTACTCGCCGTTATTCAAAAATTGCTTACGCGCAAACTAAAAAAGACTGAATAGCGTTTTATACGGAAATAATTAGGGCAGCATTCACTCCATGTGTCCTCAAAATTGGGGTTTGTTACTGGCTCGGGTTGAATTTTGGGAATTATTTAAAGTGAGACTAGTATTTAATGCGATATTTTGACTGTTTCCGGGATATAACGGTTCGAAACTACCTAAAAGCGGGTTCATGTTGGAGGCTTGTGCGCGCAAGCTTCCATCAATAACTCCTGTAACGGTCTGGACATTCAGTGATTAACGTTTAATATAAAAATAACAACGATCACAGCTAATGATATAAAAGCCACATTCACAGCAGTTTTAGCCATGTTCAATAGTAACGCTAACCGCCCACATTAGCAGCAAAAACTCCAATAAAATATAAACCACATATAGATAGTTACGTTCTCCCTGCCCCTAAGACATAGAAATGGCAGTCCGTCGAACAACAGCACTGAGCAATTCGTTTTTATCCGGCTGTTCGGTCATTATGCTGACTTTCACCCACTGCTTAGTCTGAGATGAGTGCTTGATCGCACTAAGAACGGCTTGTACGTACAATCCATCTTCGAAATTAGCAGCCGTTGACACTAAATCCGGCTGATTTAGTACATTTTCTGATCAGTTCAAAGCGAGACTTACCCGGCTCTTTTATCCAACCGGCTTGATCATTTACGGGTAGAAAGGCCTCTCTAAGGGCTGCCACCATCTTACACAGGCCTTTGATGAAGGTTTTCGGCAGCATCGAGTTGGGAACTGGACACTTCAAGTCCTCCACGTCCAAATAGATTACTTCTTCAGTGGTCTTCTCTTTGCGCCCGAAGAGATCACCTCCGCGTACCTTCAAAATCATTGTATCGGCTTTTAGGCCACTAAACCTAATTCCGCTAATCAATGGCTTACCACCAAATGGCCAGTACTGGAGCAAACTAAAATCTCTTGTTGGAAAGTACTGCCAATTGCGTGGCTGTTGAGGTTGACTGTGACCAGAACTCCGTTGTGCAGCTCCATTTGGAACACGCAGAAATCTGGAGCTGTTATTTGCCGGATTCCCTTTATGGTCTCCGTGTGTTTTGTGAATGTTCGCACAACTCCGTGTACTCTGATGGCTTTCTCCCCGGTCAGGAAAGTGATCAGGTCCACTATGTGGCTGCCGATGAGGTTCAAAGTGCCCCCTAGAAACCGCAGGCTTTATTTGCTGACTTTTGCAGGATTAATTGCGGACTTACCGCCCATCTCAGCATTGCACTTCCAGTCAAATGTATCGATGTCCGTAAATAATGAGCCGGTCTGCACTTTGATATCAATCAGTGTGATGGGGGAGCCCAGATAGTTTTCCTCCAGCTTTTTCTTCAGCTGTATGAAAGCTGGCAGGAATCTACAAATAATCGATGTTTTTCCGGTCGGAACTTTTCAGTGTTGATTTACCTGAACGAGTGGTTGATCAGGGATATAAGAGAGGGGTAGTACTGTCCAGCCCTGACCATCTTAAGGGCGTCTGACTGGTAAAGGCCGGCAGGTTTATCGCAAACTACATGCTTCCCAATGCCCAAGGCTTTCACCGAAATTTGGGCGTGTAAATTCGGGGAGCACAGCACGAATATTAAGTCTACATCTTTCTTCAAAAGGACATCGTCAATCACGTTGGTAAAAAAGGGGATGTTGAGGCTTTTGGCTGCTTCCTGGGCATCTTGTAGGGTCCGACTCCAAATGGCTTCGATTTTGAACCCGTTTTCCCGCAGGATGGGAATGAGCACTTTCACAACCGGCCCAGTGCCAAAAACACCGATTCCAGGCAACATTTTGCGAAATTCTGGCGATTTTATGTTCCAAAACAATGAGCTTGTATTTGTAAACAACTGGCTGAAGCGGTTAGGGTCACTTTTTACGCGTCCATCCCCTTCTTAAGCAATAATTTCCATTTAACACCCTTACCAGATCCATTCAAGTAGGCACAACTGCAATCTAATCCAGAGCAAGCAGAAAACTAATCAGTTATTTGATAAAATGCCGAAAAAATGTAAAAACTAGCAGATTCTTTTGGTAAAAGACGAATCTCTAGAGAAGTGACAGTTGGAACACAACACAACCAAGTTTGGCCAACTAACAAGGCTTTGTGAGCTTTTTTAAAGTTTTTCGGGTTTTTCTTGCAGAACAATGAAAATCGCGGTGGAGGGTTGCGCCCATGGCGAGCTAGATAACATATATGCATCCCTTCAGGAGGCGGAACGCAGAGACAACATTAAAGTGGATTTGTTAATATGCTGTGGAGATTTCCAGTCCTCCAGAAACGTGGCTGATCTGGCCTGCATGGCTGTGCCCCCTAAATACCGCAAAATTTGCACCTTTTACAAGTGAGGCCCCAAGAAGTGGAATATTTGCGTCTTGTTAAGGAATTGAAGCTAAAGCTGCTGGTTGTTTCAGATACTTCAGCGGCGAAAAAGTGGCCCCAGTGCTGACAATTTTCATCGGGGGGAACCACGAAGCCTCAAACTACCTGCAGGAGTTGCCCTATGGGGGCTGGGTGGCCCCTAAAATCTACTATATGGGATACGTAGGAGTAATCAACATTGCTGGTAGTCCACACTCACTTTCCGGCTTCCGCTGTGTTTGACCAATAATTTTTCAGGGGTAAGAATAGGAGGCCTTTCCGGCATCTACAAGAGCCGCGATTTCATGAAAGGCCGATGCGAAAAGCCTCCATACGACGAAAACTCCAAACGAAGTGTTTACCACATCAGGAACTTGGATGTGTTTCGCTTGAAGCAGATTTCCGAGCCAATAGATGTATTTTTGTCGCACGACTGGCCCACTGGGGTTTACCACCATGGCAATGTGGCGCAATTGTTGAGGCGAAAGCCATTTTTTAGGTGCACATCCGCTCCAATTGCCTTCAACCATTTCTTCAATTATTTTGTTCTAGAGAAGAAATTGACGCGAATCAGTTAGGCAGCAAACCTTGCGAAGAACTCCTGCACCATTTGAAGCCAAAATTTTGGTTTTCCGCCCATCTTCATTGCAAGTTTGCGGCCTTAGTTCCGCATGAAGACAGTCCCCCAACCAAGTTTCTGGCCTTAGACAAATGCTTGCCTAAAAGGCAGTTTCTGCAACTGTTGGACATTCCTCACAATGAGGACGAAAAGCTCCAAATCAGCTATGACTTGGAATGGTTGACCATTCTACATCTAACTAATCATTTGTTGAACGTGCAGAACTCCATAACGTTCATGCCAGGCGCGGGCGGCAACGAAAGGTTAGTTCAAAGCTCTGGTGGACTTTGCAGAACCAATATTTTTTCTAGGTTCAAGTTCACACCCACAGATGCTGAGCGCGAGCTGATAATGAGCAAAATGAACAATTGTTTAAAAGTGCCCGAAAACTTCAGAGCGACTGCAGCTTCGCATAAACCGGGAGACTCCGCCGGCAAGCTGAAAGAACTGGAGCCAAAGCTCAACCCGCAGACAGTGGAATTGTGCGAAACTTTGGGCATCGACGATCCCATAGCGCTGATTTCGCAGAAACATGGCCTAAACATCTCGTTGGACACCAGCTATTACGAAACTTCCACTTTCATTGCCGACTCGGATGAATCGAGCATAACATGCTGCAACGAGGATTCAGATATTGTTGAACAAGAGTCAAAAATTAATGCTTTGGAGCTTATCGACGTAAAAAGGCTTACGCCTATGAAGCTGCCTCAGCCCAAACTCACTGGCGGCGACGTTGAAGAAGTTGATTCAGCTGAACCGTCTGAAGTGGACAAGGTGAACTATCAGCTCCCACAAGCCCAAGAAGAGGTTCTCCCTCTCCCTTCACAATCAACCCCCGAAGAAACAGCAGATAAAGCATCGCCAAAGCGGGTGTTGGAAGAGACTGAGGAAATCGTGGAGGCACAAATTGATATCAGTGAAGGGCTAAACGATTCAGTGACGTCCACGACAAAAAAATTCAAAAGACGAAATGAGAGCATATACGCCTCTTCTCCGGATAGCTGATAGTGGCCTTAATGTTATGGGCTGTATCGTGGAGTACAAATTTTTATATTTAATAGTTGTTGGAAAATAATGCAATTGTTTCAACTAAGAAGTTTTGGATTGAAATAAGTACTTTTCGCCCAGGGGATGGGTCACTAGAATCGAAAAAATCTGCAAAAGACTTTATATACAAATTAATTAATAAAATAATACACTTAACACTAAGTAACAATTAAATAGGCCAATTGATAGAACTAATTATTTGCTCCTAATCGTATCGCTGCGACGATAAAATAACAAATAGGGTACTCGCGTTCCTTGAGGATTCAACACCTGTTCCTCTTGTACCTATCGAAGCAAAATTGATCATATCAATTCATTAATGTATTTATTGATGGTACTTACTGGTTTGACTGAAGCGTCGTCGTACCGCAGCCAGCTGCTGAAGCCGACATGGAACGCGTCCGTTACATAATGTCCTTTAGTTGCTTCCTTTCCGTCGTGATAAACTATAGCGAAAAGCTTATACTGCTTCACCTTTGCGTTGGTCGTTTTTTGCGACAACAGCTCTAAAACACAAATTGTATAAATAACACTACACTACCGCACTTGTTGGCAGCTAGTCTTACTTCCATCGATTTTCAGGTCAATAGGAAATTCCAAAGCCTTCACAATCTTTGTACATCCATTCAGCTGGAAGTCGAAGCACTTCAGATGAAGTATCAAGATCACTGGCAGCTCATCCAACATCACTTGCTGCCAAGCCTCTACTTCTTCATTAGTTTTAGCTGAAGTCAGCCCTTCCAGCTGATGCTTAGTGGTAAGAGCGTCTAGGGCTTCACGCACAGTCTTTACTTTCTAAAACAAAAACGTCTATAAAACCAACAGATGCCTAGAAAAACAGCCCTTTTTACCTCAATATTCAACGGCAGAGTGAGGAATGGTTGCGTGTTCTCTGTAACAAGCCCCCCTGTTCTGTATATTCGGGACTTCAGCGACCCGCCAAAGATATCCGTGATTGGGGTTCGCTCAAATTCCATTTTCCTCAATACAGAGCCTTTGTTCTTGTTCCCCATCACCTGCCACATATCGCTGTCGTCCTGCGGCTCTTCTTCAAGCACCCTTTCCGACGTTTCCACTAATTTAATCAGCTGAAAGGCAAATGATTGGCTCGAAAACATTCATGGGTTTTTCCCTTACTGTGACTCACCTCCAGCATTTCATCGCTCAAGTGATTTAAAAGGCACCCTAGAAATTCTTCTGCATCCTCCTGACGCCCTTCGATAAGGTCCGTTTGCAGGCCGCTCAATATTTTATAAACCCACGAAGGCTCAAACGGAATGTCCGTGTTGATCATGGTGTTTTGGTCTCGTTTTTGGTCCTTCTTGCCGCCGTCCGATCGGCGGTTGTTCACACGCATATTCGCTGGTAAGTGATTGTATTCCTTAATAAACTTACACCTGCAAACAATGGGATTTTTGTGCTTGACTGGGGAAGAGTGATTTTAAAACTCACATTCCGTCGATAACCGGAGTGGGTTTTCTCTTGACGTTCGAGGAAATGTTATCAGCTAAGCCACTTAGCAGGTTGTACATTGGGGGACAAGCCAGCAGAGCCTGAAGGATGGAGTTAATGTAGCAGTAGTTGCTCTGGTTGATTAAACCTCTGGGCTGCAGGCTGATGGCTCTACCATCCACTGAGCAGTTTTTTAAAAACTCTGAAATCCCCCACGTTACACTCACTAGCAAAATTTCGTTAAAAGGCGCTTTAACTGACCTCCCATTCTGTAACAATCCGGATCGATAAAATGGTTCTTTCTCGGGTTCTTGATCGGGCAGGATTCAACAGTCTTCAGCTGCTTGGCAGCACTTGAAGCTGAAGCAGACGTTCCATTAACCATCGCACTTGCCGAACCTCCTTTGGGGGTGAAAAGACTGGCCCAAGACTTCGCTCCGGAAGCCTGATTGGGAGTGCTGACCGATTTCTCCTCAAGTGGGGCCGACTGGGGCGCTTCCACGGTAGCCTCCGCGCTAGATTTCGGTTCATCTGGACGCTCTGCGGCTTTCTCTTGGTCGGGTTGCTGATTTTTCGGGGTAAATGCAGGTGTATCGGCCGATAGCAGCGGCGGAGATTTCTTCAAAGCAGTCCCATTTTGCGTGGGCGCGATTGAAGTTGGTGACTCCCAATGGGAACTGGGAGCAATTTCCGGCTGAACGGGAATAGAGTTATCCAGATACATTTGGCCAGCATGCGGGTAATAGATGCCAGCATCGGCTCCATGATTGATAAAGGTGGGCTGAGCTGAAGGGACTTCGTAAAACACTTTAGCGGGATAGTTGGGATAAGGCGTGTACACTGCGTTGGTCACAGGCAGATCTGGATGGTTCCCAGTAGGGGAAAAGTGATTGTAGCCGTAACTGCCGGGCAGGTGAACTGAAGGTGATTGAATGGGAGGAATCGGCGGCAGGTAATACTGTGATGAATTGTACGGGCTATTTATGGGTGGATGAGCGATACTGTTAAGGGCTGGATCAGTGAACGGTTCATCAGCAAATCCGTTTTCGGGATTTATTATGGAGATCGGCTCTGTAGCATTCGAGTAGGTTTCATTGAGCGGTTGTGGCACAAATTCAGCCGCCAGTTTAGTCCAACTGGATCCTAGAAAAAAAATTACTGTTAAGGTAAAATCGTTAAGGTTAAATGCGCAATTAATTTCAAAATGTGTGCAAGAATCGTGCATTTCTCCGCTAAAACTAAACAGCGACTGTTTTGTGGGTACCTTCATTTGTTGGGTTTCCCCCAATATACCAAGGAAACCTAGCGTCAGGCTGTAAAGGCTGCAACGAGGTCAGAACCGCATTTTTCTCATATTCTTCAATACCGGTCAGGTCTAGGAATTGCAATCCAATCTGCAACAAAACAAATCATTTAACTGGGCTCTTAAAACCGCTACTTTATCAGAGTCAAGGCACTTTTTCATGCATTATTGAGAGACCTTGTTAGTTACTCAAAGTTTCTCAACTTTGGATTAGTCTGGGTAAAGTTTTTCCCGCTGGTGTGTTGACAATAGCATTCTAGGCCTTAATGGCCAGTGCTCGAAATGAATGACTAATCAGGAGGACTTTAACCACATGGTCCTTAGCATTTACCAGTCATATTTTTAGGTTATAACACACAAATGGCAAATCATCTAAGACTATAAAAAAGAGAAACATCCCATTTCAGACATGTGAAAGCCAGAGAGGCGAGAACAGTAAAAGTTCCTCTTCAATCAGTCAATGAAAGTAGTCGATGGTTAATTAAACAATCGGGCATTTTGGCCAGCGGCTGGGGAACATGGTAGGCAAGTTGCCTGATTCAGTTAAGCATAACTGCAGTTATATAAGCAATAAATATCGACTAAAAATAAATAATAAGTGTTAAATAGAGCAACAGAACAGCATGTGAACATGCAGGTGTAACGCTGGAACAGTTTGGATGTACTCACATTGTCAGGGGTATCCATTACGGCGAACTGATGCTTTACACAGGTTATTACAGATGATCAAATGGCATTATCACAACATGCAACCCGATAAATTACACATTATTGTTTAGAATCTATTCGACAATGGAGGGTTAAGATTTCACGTTTTGAACTGTCAGGGTAATAACACTAACAGCGCTGTTGCCAGGCGTATTAATAAGAGCCTTTGAAAATTTTCTTAATTATCGGTGCAAAATGACCGCTGATTCGCCTTGCAATTTTTCTAGTACTCATCGACAGTGCCTGATTAGTCTTGTGCTATTGTGCGTTTGTTTGTAAATATGTAGAGCTGCTTTGGTCAAGCATTTCTTCGGGTTCGTATTTTGCGCGATTTATTGCTGTTAGTGGCAACGCCGTTGGTTAACCGCGCTAATGCGAGATGTCGAGTCAATGTCATTTGTTGTACTCTTTCTACTTTCAAGAGCGAGTGAGAAACTAAAGCAGCGAAGCCAATATTATACTGCAATTTAAATTTTAAAAAATTACCAAACTGGAAACATCAATAATCAATTAAAAATAAACTTTGTCCACCAAAAATTTTAAATTTCAGACGTTTTTTTCTGGATCACAACGTGGGAATCGCAAGCGAAGGAGAAACTGGGGGGTCTCGAATTGAAAATATTCTTTTTATTGCCAACAAGGAACTTAAAAATGTTTATTTAAATGCAATGATTGAAAAACAGTCAATTGAAAATCTGCCATAACAAATTATAATTCCTGGAATTGGGACCTTAATAAAAAGCTAGCAATGTGCTCGAAATTACCGCGTGTGAAAATTGCTTAATAAATAACCTAATTAGTTGAAGAAAATGGGAAATATTAAACAGCACAGTAACTTTGGCTGAACTGGAGAATCTGCATGAAGGAACAGCTAGTTATCACCATGAATTACTACGATAAACTATCGCCTAAACGCCCTTTAGATTCGTTAACAATTAGACAAAAAATTTGTATTTTCCGCTTTGAAAGGGGACAACCCTAGACGGTACGCAGAATAATATGAACACCCGAATCTGTAAAAACTGGATCAGACAACTCGCCCACCTTAAGACTAAAGGCCGCATCTTCAAAAGGCTTCTGCATGGCTCCCTTGCCGAATGGCCCCAAATCTCCACCGCGCTTAGCCGATGAACAGTCCGAATATTTCGTGGCCAATTCAGCAAAAGACGCCTTTCCTTGCGCGATCTGCTCGCGGTACGCTATAGAAAAAACAACATTTTTGTTAGAACATGAGAAACCACCATTAGAAACTGCTAATCACTTTTCACCAGCTCCAAAGCTTCCTCCTTGGAGCGCGTGATGACTTCTTCCCTCCATGAGGACGGACGCCTTGAGTCCTTGTGCTTGACCAGCAGATGGGAACACTGGACTTGGTCAGGCCCAGACGACTGACCGCGTTCTGCAGGCTCACTTGGGGCGTCCCACTGCGACTCCTTTGTGTAGATGTTCAAGTAGTAATGCTGGCCTAAAATTAATAAAATTATTGGGAGTCTCAGAAGGAAACCAACAAATGCTTTGATTACTAGGTGGTTTATTCACAAGGCTATCCGAGAGGATCACTCAGGTCGATTGGAAAAACAATGTTTGCGGGCAATATTCGACTTGCAACGTGCGAGTCGATCAAGAGATATAATTGTATTAGCTTTTATTACGCTTTAATTGAACCTTCTAGCTGTTAAATAATTGCGCTTTAAGAGGACTTTGTGAGAAAATACACGTTTCCTGCCCCTTTTGATTTTTTGCACTTTTTTGACTTCCAAGTGTCACTGGAGCACCAATGTAGGTTATTTCAAGCAACTTTCCCTATATACAATCGACGTGTTTTGAGTAAAGCCCCAGCTAAAATCCAGCAAAATTGACGGCAAAAATGAGCCCCCCAGGAGCAGAAACGTGAAAATCGCCCGCTTAAGTGTGTAAACATGCCTGTCCTAACCTAAGATTTGCTGCCCAAATGTACATTCAGCCCCCCTGGCCAGGGCTGTATATTCACCAAAAGCCCCATCGGCTAATTAATCGGAATAAGTGAAAAATTCAGTTAAAACTCACCGGTAGAGCGGCTGAGGCGTTTTTCCCACCCTGCAGGTAAAGTTTCGTCTGCCATTTTCTGCGAACCAAAACATGCTCTATGCGTCCACAGCTAACTTCACATTTCTCCAGAGATGGTCGGCTGTTGCCGCATTGATCGATAGCCGATCGGCAGTTTACGGTTTGTAAAGGCGCGCTAATTGGCTGGTTTAAATTCCGCCGTGAGAATTAACCAATGGCAAGGCGGGCTGGAAGGTTGTCCCACGTGGATCGTAAATTCGGATAGATGCGAATGTAGCAGGAAATCGGTCACTGATCAGCTGGGCGGTGACAGTTGAGTCTTGGTCAGCCTGCTGGGGACGCGTGTTTCTGCATACGTCAAGAATTTCGATTTTCCGTGTTTTTCGGTGAAAATATCCGTGTTTTTTCGCATATTTCGCTAAATAATGACAGCGAACAAACAGAACTTTGACTGAAAAATCCAGAGCTTTGGCAAAACACCCTGGTCGGCTTTGGTTAGTGTATTTTGTATGTGTAGGAGTCAAAGGGGCAGTAAACAAACAGGATTCAACCAGAACATCATTAAATTAGGTGAGTTTTCTGCAGGAATCCCAATTCGAACCCAATTAGAACCCGAGCAGCAAGAATTGCACAAATTATTGACCCAAAGTAGGTCAGATAAAATATTAAACCCACCTATTTGAATTGAGAAATCTGCGATTTTTCAATGAAAGTTCGTATATGTATTGGAGTTTTAACATTGTCGTGGCTGAGAAAACGTAGATGTGAAAGGTGGAGGCCCAAAATGAGCGAATTTATAGCTGCAGCAATGCAGGCAGCAGGTGGATGGTTGGAGTTTTTGCAATTCTACAGTATTTTTCGCTTGAAAACGATTTTATTACATAGAACAGGGTCTAATGACCATATAGGGGCATTTATCAACACACTGATCAAAGTCTCCTAAATATTTATTCAGCTTCAGTAACTCAGTTGATTTTTGTAGAAAGCACACGGATATTTTCTAAAACTAGATACTAAACACAAAATTTTTCTAAACTCTAAAATACATTTATCTGTTGCATTATCTAGCTAGAGCGCCCAAGGGCATCCTTTGGTGAGTCAGCCTCTGTTGAGTAAAAGTATTAATGAGCGGCTATTCACGTTGTTTGGGTATTTGTTCGGCTTTTCAAGGCTTAATGACTAACTATCTATGGTACTTACCTTAACTTTCCAGTTAATGATTTATTGGGTGTCTTTTACACACACAAATTATTAAAAGATTGCATACTTACTAAGCCCCTGCTAAAAAGGTATTTTCTAAGATTTTCTGCTCGCACAATAAATTTTACATCGAGCCAGACGATTAAATGAATTCGAACGTTTCGCAAACACACGCCAAAACTCGGCAAGTTGACTGTTTGGATAATCGAGCAAAAATTCATTAATTAATGGGAGTTTGTGAGCTTAGAATGTTCATCTAACATTAACGAAAACAAGCGGTTAAAGTAAGGCAAATGTAAGCCAAAGAGTAAAAGTCTGGTCTAGCGTAGTCGAGTACGACCTACATAATTAAAAAATCCATTTTAAAGTAATGAGAATTAGGCGAATTTTGCAACTGGCAAAGTTTGATGAACTTTTAACTGGTTGAGGTCGGAATTGCGCAAAACTGAATCGGCCCGGTTTTCTTTTTCATATTAATATATCAACGCTATTGTTCGCCGCTGGTTCTTCCCACTTCTTTGGCCGACCGATTGTATTTTAATGCGTAAACAATTTTTCAAATGCCATTAGAAATTAAAATAGCATGCAAAATATTGCTGATGTTTTACATTATCTTGACTTGAAAACCGCCTCACTCTGTATAATGTCATCAAATATCGGCTGAGTAAACATACTGGTGCACAGTGAAATTACGCGAAAGTCGCATGTAAATCCGTTAATTGAATTGAACCTTCAGTGAAATTTACAAAATAACTACTTTGTTTTTGCAACAAATGTTTTTCGTTGCATTTCGGCACGTTAGTTTGGAAAAATTAGTTAAATGTAGCAATTCGTGGGGAATAAAATCGAGGAAAAATCAACGCACAAAAAGTGAAATATAGAACAAAACAACCGAATGCCTTCTTTATGAGTAAAACAACAAAAAAAGACAAGACGACAAAGGAAAACCGACAGCTTAAAAATAAAAAAAAATCACTGATTCAGACGCACCCAAACAGCAAAGAAAGAATTGTAGATAAGTTCTATATTGTTG